AAAAAAAAAAAAAAAAAAAAATTAGCTAGGTGTGGTGGCGTGTGCCTGTAGTCCCAGCTACTTGGGAGACTGAGGTAGGAAAACGGCTTTAGCCCAGGAGGTGGAGGATGCGGTGAGCTGAGATCGCACCACTGCAATACAGCCTAGCGACAGAGCAAGACTGTCACAAAAAATAAAGAAAAAATAATAAAACCAATTTCCAAAACAATAACACACATATACTCCCTCGCTCCTCTGCCTCACATTTCCACGTGGCATTTTTCATCACTGAGCATTCTATTTATTTTTTCTTTGGCGGAGTCTCACTCTGTCACCCAGGCTGGAGTGCAGTGGTGTGATCTCGGCTCACTGCAACCTCCGCCTCCCGGGTTCAAGGGATTCTCCTGCCTTAGCCTCCTGAGTAGCTGGGACTACACGCACCCACCACCATGCCCAGCCGATTTTTGTATTTTCAGTAGAGACGCAGTTGCACCATATTGGCCAGGCTGGTCTCGAACTCCTGACCTTGTGATCTGTCCGCCTGGGCCTCCCAAACTGCTGGGGTTACAGGCGTAAAATATCACGCCCAGCCTCATTCAGTGTTTAAAAGGTATCATATACTCGTGACCCAACAAATTCCCTTCTGAAACACTGCCTTGGGAAACCACTCACATGAGGGCGAACAAAGGCATCCACACGGCATGTTCTCCACAGCACTATTTCTAATGTCCCAAAAAAAAAAAAAAAAAACCTAAATACAATAGTTGCCCATCGGGAAATGCAGTACCACCCTATTTTGTACTGGGCACCAAAGAATGAAGACCTATATCACCACCATGAAGAGTCCCAAGAGATACAGCGGCCAACAACGACAAATCCAAATACGCAGTATGACTTTTCAAAACGACAAAGATTACAAAAGCGACACGTTTTCCCGTTGCATATGTATGCATGTAAAAGCACAGAAACGCATCTGCAAAGTCACCAGACCATTAACAGTAATTACCTCCTGAAAAGGAAGGACTGTCTGAAGATAACTTTTTTTTTTTTAAGGCTTTTCATTTTTATTACTCAAAATTTCAATTTTAATTTAGCTTTCTGACTCTGTGCTTGTGCCTTCAACACTTTCACAACGATTTTCTGCTCCTCCATAAGGAAAGCATGCTGATCCTGTCACGAACACATTTAGCACACATGGAGCCACCATAGGCCCTGCTGATATGTTTCTTTGTTTTGGACAATCTCATAAGAACTTTAGGACTTACAGCACAAACCCCTGGAAGCCTGCCTGGGCACATGCCACATGCAGATTTTGGTGCTTTCCCAACCTTTTGGTATAAAGGTAAACAATTCTATTACCAGGTGTCCAGGACAGCCTAGTTTTGTTAGAGGCGGTATTGTAGGAAACCCTAAGCCAGTATGTCAAACGCTGGACCATTCTGAGTGCCTGCACACAACGTCCCCGGAAGAGCTGGGTTTTTTTTTGAGACAAGAGTCTCACTCTGTTACCTAGGCTGGAGTGCAGTGGCGTGTTGCGATCTCGGCTCACTGCAATCTCTGCCTCCCAGGTGCAAGCAATTCTCCTGCCTCGGCGTCCCAAACAGCTGGGACTACAGGCGCCCACCACCACGCCCGGCCAATTTTTTCGTGTGTATTTTTAGTAGACACGGGGTTTCACTATATGGGCCAGGCTGCTCTCGAATTCCTAACCTTGTAATCCGCCCGCCTCGACTTCCCAAAGCGCTGGGATTACAGGCGCCAACCACTGTGCCAGGCTTGGAAGTAACTTAATTCGGTACAAGAACCTCTGGTAGATTCTCTCGCACTTCAACATTAATTTTAGAGGGTAGACGAACCAATGCCCGAGACTCCAGGCCGTAACTCTCAGGGTCCCTCATGCATTCTCCTTTGCCATCGCTTTACCTGCCAACCAGAGAGCTTTCCCCAGTCCCTCGCGCATGCTCCGAGCGCTGACCCATCCACCGCGGTCGGCACCCAGGACGGCCCCCTGCTCCCCGCGGCCACCCCCACGCCCGCGGACAGCGCCCCTCACTCACCAGACACGGGTGAAGGATCCCTCTTGGCCTGGAGGCGACTGGCCTGGGGCAAGAACGGGTTGTTCACCCTACGGGAGGCGGCGAGGTCAGCGGGGAACCGGCCCAGGCCGCCCGCCGCCCACGACGGACCGCCTGCCAGCGAGGGTGCTCACCCGAACGTGTTGGGCTCCTCCACCACCTTCATCTTCGCGGCACCTGCTGGCGCGGGCCCTACGGGGAACGAGACAGTGAGCGGGGAGGCCGGGGTGCTGAGCGCGCGGGGGGCCTGGGGATGCGGGCGGCCGGACTACTCACCACGCGCAGAGAGCCCGAGGAGCAGCAAGACGCCCGCCAGCTCCGCCGCCATCGCGCTGAAGCCGCCGCGAGGTCACGTGGGTTGGCGGTCACGTGGTCGCGGGAACAGGACGTGGCTCCCGGCGCATGCGCAGGCAGCCGCACTGCCCTTTGGGATACTGGGGGGCGTGGCCGTGGGGGTCTCTGGTGCCCCAGATCGGCGCCATGGGCCGCAAGAGGGCGGCGCGCGGGCCGGGGGCGGAAGGCGGCCGGGCTAGGCGCCTCCCGAGCCGATCCCTGGAGGCCTTCGCCGAGGAGGTCGGCGCCGCGCTGCGAGGTGAGCGAGGCGTGATGGGGAGAGCGGGTCGGGGGTCCCGGGCCGGCCCGGGGTCCCGCGCTGAGGCCGAGTACCCTTCTCTCTCTCGTGCAGCATCCGTGGAGCCAGAGGTGGCCGAAGGCGAGGGCGACCCGGGCCGGGCGACGCTGCCCTGCGCGCTCGCCATGTGGGAGCTGGGCCACTGCGACCCCCGGCGCTGCACCGGGCGCAAGCTGGCCCGCCTGGGGCTGGTGCGCTGCCTGCGCCTGGGCCAGAGGTTCGGCGGCCTGGTGCTCAGCCCCGTGGGCAAGCAGTACGTGTCCCCCGAAGACAGGTAGGCGCGGGGTCCTGCCCTAGCTCGTCTTACTGTCCAGCGCGTGGTTCCCTCCCGGGCTCGTGTACTGGGACTTGAGTGTCATACACACGCCCACACCCGCGTCCACGTGGGCTGGCACTGTCTGTCCAGTTTGCCTCCATTCTATAGCCCAGATTCTGAGATGTAGAAGGTTTTGGGATAATAAACGTTTGTTGAGTGAATAAACGCAGGCTCTAGGTACCCCAAGCAGCTGCCTCAAAAGCTTGCTCATGAAGTCCCCTTGAGGGTGTCTAGGATAGAGGAGTGTTGTCCGTGAATCGCCAGCGAGGCCATTTTCCGGGGACATACGTCACCTTGGGCAGTGCCAGCTCCTGAACTTACCCCATGCTGTCCCTGGCAGACAGCTGGTGGCACAGTCTGGGGTCGCCGTCATCGACTGCTCTTGGGCCAGACTGGATGAGACGCCGTTTGGGAAGATGCGAGGGAGCCACTTGCGCCTGCTGCCCTACCTGGTGGCCGCCAACCCTGTGAACTATGGCCGGCCCTACAAACTTTCCTGCTTGGAAGCTTTTGCCGCCACCTTCTGCATTGTAGGTGAGTCTGGAGGCCCCACAGCAGCCCTATCTGGCAGCCTGCTGTTCCTGCTGTGGTCCTGGCACCGTGCACAGGACCGGCAGACCCCAGGAGGAGCATAAGGGACAGGCAGGGAAGCTGTTCAGACAGACCAGGGTTTCGGTCCCCCTGTCACTCACTTTTCGGCCTGTGGAGTTTCCGTGGAGAAGAACGGGCTGGCTGCTCTACAGGGGCAGGCGTGTGGGGCACCATTCACGATCATGCAGCACTGCCGAGAGTCCTCCTTACAGAACTGCTGATCTAAAGAGGCCCAGATGACCCGTGGGGCAGTCTTGGTGCGAGTGCTTGGGTCTCACCGCAAAGGAGGGGCATGGGGTCGGCTGCAGAGGTGTGGACTGGGGGCAGCGCCGGCTCTCAGGACTGGGCGCTGGTGTTTGGTGGGGACCCTGCGGTTCCTGGGACAGCGCCGCCATCCGGCAGCAGGGTGATGGGGACACACCCCAGGGGACCGGCGACTTCTTTGGGTTTCCTGTGTCCCACACCATCAGGCTTTCCGGACCTCGCTGTCATTTTGCTGCGGAAGTTTAAATGGGGCAAAGGTTTCTTGGATCTTAACCGCCAGCTCTTGGACAAGTACGCGGCCTGTGGTGGCCCGGAGGAGGTGTTGCAGGCAGAGCAGGAGTTCCTGGCCAGCGCCAAAGAAAACCCCCAGGAGGAGGAGATCGGTGAGGCCTGACGGGTGGGAGCGAGGCCCTCCAAAGCCTGGGCGATGGGAGGCCTGGTCCTGCCCTGAGCTCAGAGGCCACTTGCCTCTCTCATTCAGATCCCTTTGATGTGGATTCAGGGAGAGAGTTTGGAAACCCCAACAGGCCTGTGGCCAGCACCGGGTAGGTCCTTGGTTTTCTTAATTTCCTGATCACTCAGACCCAGGGCTCTCCTCTACCTCCGGCCTGAGCCGTCCTGCTGTGTGGGGTTGGGGTCTTCTGACTAGAAAACCTGAGCAGACGTCCCACTGCAGGGCTTGGGTTTGGAGCACAGGGAGTGAGAGGAACCTGTCAGCTGAGTGCGCTGGTCACGCCTGTCATCCCGACGCTTTGGGAGGAGGAGGTGCACGGATCACGAGGTCAGGAATTAAAGACCAGCCTGGCCAACACAGTGAAACCCTGTTTCTACTAAAAGTAGAAAAATTAGCTGGGCGTGGTGGCTCGTGCCTGTAGTCCCAGCTAGTCAGTAGGCTGAGACAGAAGAATTGTTAGAACCCAGGAGGTGGAGGTTCTGCCACTGTACTCCAGTTTGGGTGACAGAGCAAGGACTGCGTCTCAAAACAAACAAAAAAGGAATGTGTCCTCGGCTCGGGGCTTTGTGTGGATGAGGTTGCCTCTGGGGGCCAGGGGGGACATCATTCGGGAACGTGCTCCCCTTCCCTCCCAGGCTGCCCTCGGACACTGATGATAGTGATGCGTCTGAGGACCCCGGGCCTGAGGCCGAGGATGGAGGAGCCGGCAGCAGCAGCTCTGAAGAGCAACAGACTCAGGGACGGGGGGCTGAGGCCAGGCCCCCAGCCGAGGTTTGGAAAGGAATCAAGAAGCGGCAGAGAGACTGAGGGTTACAGACATGTGTATTTTTGAGGCTGGGTGACGAGAAAATCTAGAGACGTGGGGGACACAGGCAGGCCTGGCAGTCTCAGCTCTGTGGCTGCCGGTGGGACTGAGCCGTCCGGGTCCTCCCCGTGCTTCCAGCACAGCCGTACTCCGTGTCCCACCCTGGTGCTCTCGCAATGAAGCTGCAGGCCGAGGCACCCCGAGTGAGTCTGTTTTTCACACTGGGACTGAGGAAGATTGGGGCCAACTCTTGGCCCCGCCTGGAAGGGCTGTGGAGCAGGTCCCTGGTGGCCACAGGTGTGCGAAGGACGGCTGACCAGTTGGCATGGAGCCGTTCACACTGACCACCAGCTGCAGAGGGCCTGAGAGCCCCGTGGGGACTGGAGTCCCATGCACTTCTGGGCTCACCTGCTCCCCACATCCCCTGTGAGTGGAGGCTCTGGACCCTCCACCCAGCGGTGCCAATGGCGCCCTCTTTACTCCTCAGCCATGACTATCAAAAGTGCCTCTGCACACTGCCTGCTGTTTCTCAGCGAGCACAGCCAATCAGTCCCTAGAGAGCAGCTGCTCAGGCCCACTCAGGGCCGTGGAGCCCAAGGGCAGGGAAGCCCACCTGGTGGCCAGGCCCACTCTGGCCTGCACTGTCTCCTGGGTAGCTGCTGGCCAGGTCCTGCCAAGTTGGCCACCCAGATGGGGGGTTGGGCGCAAAGGTTCACAGCACACAGCAGACGGACACGGCCAGGGCAGTGGGAGCCCTAGGACTAGCCACGACATGCACATCACAGAGCCAGGGCCATGGGAGCACGGGGCCAGCACGACACACAAGGGGCAGCGTGGGCCCTGGCTGCACAGAGTGGGCCACAGTGAGCGGAGGCTGCCTCAGGGAACTCGGGGTGGGTGGGGCCAGTGGGCTCAGGGGTCTGCCTCCATGCACTTCTCCAGCTCCTTGAGTTTCTTCACGAACTCCTGTGCTTCCTTGCTGGTGCGGCCTTCCAGCATCCTCAGCGCAGACCTCACTGCAAGCAGGTGTAGGCAGGTGTGTGGGAGTCAGGGTCAGGTCCACTGCCTGCTGCCCCGCCCCCGCCTGGACCCTCACTCACCCTGGGCTCTGGGTCGGCACAGGTGCAGGGTGACAGGCTGCCCAGCCCTTGCACCCCCGCCCACGTGGGGCCGGGCGACCCCGCTGACACCGCTGAGGCCGAGGGCTGCCTCCCCGGCGAAGTCGTTGGTGGACAGCCAGTCATGGTCCATGACGGTGAAGAGCACGCAGGCTCCGCGGCGGCGGCACGCCTCTGCAGGCACGGAGCTGTGGACAGGCCAGTCCACATGGGGAGCCTCGCTCCAGCAGCCTGGGGGCTGGGGCTGGGGCTGGGGACACTCACAAGTAGAAGAGCTCGTCATATACGGGGTGCAGCGTCCGGGTCTTCACCTGGGTCCTCTGGCTGCGGACCAGTGGGAAGAGATGCGGCGGGCCGAGCTCCACAATCACAAAGGGGTCGCTCAGGCCTGCAGGAGCATAGTCGTGAGCTGGTCGGCCCGATCCCGCCCCCACCCAACCCACTGCACCTCACCGTTGGTGTCCAGGGGGAGCAGGTCGGCGGCATGCAGCACCTCCACGGCCAGCCGCTGCTCCGCCACCTCGTAATGGCAGCGGACGCTCAGGCGTCCAAACCGGTTCTGCTCCAGGGTCCTCTGTGGAAAGGCGAGTGAGCGCAGAGGGGCTGCGGGAGCCTCGGAGGCAGTGCCCCATCCCGGCCCCCCTACCTGTTTGAGCTTGTCCAGGTAGAACTGCTCAATGCACTGACGGGTGGAGCATTTGTGAAGCCGCAGCTCCTCCTCCAGCCTCTGTGGGGGAAGCATGTCAGGAGGGGACCCTGGGCGATCTGACTCCCCATGGGCACCCAGCAGGGCCACCTTATGCTCAAGGACACAGCCCACGCGGGGCGCTGTTTGAACTCGGTCCCCTCATCTACACCCGAACCGCGCCCCACAGAGGCTTCCACCTTACCTTGTAGCTTCCATCTTTCAGGCTCTCCAGGGGCAAACCCTGGCCCTCTGCGTAGAAGAAATTGACCAGGGCCTGGGGCAGGGAAAGAATGTGGAGGCATCGGAGCCTGGCTTGTGCTGGGGGCAGATGGAGACCCAGCACAAAGGGTCCCAGGCAGCACTGGGGACTCAGTGGCCCAGGACAGAGTCCTTTCTCACATCTGGAGGCCACTGAAAGCTCCCAGGCAGCCTGGGAAAAGGCCATCACCTAAGGCCACACCTCCGCATTGGCGGGAGGAGGCCTGGATTAGCTGCTCTCCAGGCAGAGGCT